TCTCAAAAAAAGACCAAAATATATATATATATATATATATATATATATATATATTGATTGATTGATTGATTGATTGTCTGATTTGAGACAAGGTCTCCCTGTATCCTTGGTTGGCCTGAAATTTGCTATGTAGGCCAGGCTGGCCTCCATCTCACAGAGATCCACCTGCCTCTGCCTCCCTAGTGCTTAGGTTAAAGGTATGGGCCACCATGCCTGGCTGTTTTGTTTTTTGAGACAGAGTCCTGGCAGGCCCAGGTCCCCCTACTTACTAGACTAGCCTCCATCCTGCAGTGATTCTCGTACCTCAGCCAGTGGCTCAGGCCTGTAACTCTAGCACTCAGGGAGGCTGAGGCAAGTGGACTGTGGAAAGTTTGGCTATATAGTGACAGATATAATTACAAAGAATTCAAATCTTTTTTTATCAAAGGAATGATCACAGAACAGGAACTTTGTGATGCTATTTTGTCATCTCTCCTACTTTGCTTACTCAAAGACCCTGCTGCATCCCTGGAACTTGAACTTGATGGCAGAGATTCCCACTCTTCCTCTTTCTTTCATTTCCTTTGCAATGATTCTTTTAAACTAGTCAATTGCAAAAGGCTGTGAGGTCAGACCCCAGCCAATAGGGAAAAGACTCTTTTATTAGGCTAAAAACCTATGAGGCTTCTGGGTTAGGTGTGCTTGTGACCCTTCTGCAAAAGAAAAGGCTGCCTTGGCGCACGCCTTTAATCCCAGCACTTGGGAGGCAGAGGCAGGCAGAGCTCTCTGAGTTTGAGGCCAGCCTGGTCTACATAGCGAGTTCCAGGCCAACTTGGGCTACAGGGAGCCCTTGACCAAAAAAGAAAAAGAAAAAAAGAAAGAAAAGATGCCTTGCTGCCAGGATGTTCTTTGTGTCATATTGGTGGGGTCCCTGAACTTCAGATTTTATTTCTAACAAGGGTCACAAGTTTCAAGTCAGCCTGGGCCTCATAGGAAGACCCTGCCTCAAAACAATAGTACAAATCCCTTGAATATGCAGTGGAAATGGCACACAAATAAATAAATGTAATGTAACCGCTGGGCGTGGTGGCACTTGCCTTTAATCCCAGAACTCGGGAGGTAGAGGCAGGCAGATCTCTGTGAGTTCGAGGCCAGCCTGGCTACAGAGAGACCCTGTCTCTATAAGACAAAAAAGAAAAAAAATTGAGGGGGCTGGAGAGATGGCTCAGCAGTTAAGAACACTGGCTGTTCTTGCAGAAGACCTGGGTTTGAATCCCAGCACCCACATGGCAGCTAACAACTGTCCGTAACTCCAGTTCCAGGGGATCCGAAAGCCTCTTCTGTCCTCTTTGGCATTGCACGACATGGGTGCACTTACCTACATGTAGGCAATACACATAAGAAATAAAAATAATAAAAATTTTTAAAAATTTGTTTTAAACCAACAAAGTGGCCAGATGTGGTGGCATAGGCCTCTAACCCCAGCACTGGTGAGCATGAGGCAGAGGCAGGTAGATCTCTGTGAGATGGAGGCCAGCCTGGTCTACATAGTGAGTTCCAGGACAGCCATGGCTGCATAGTGAGACTGTCTCAAAAAAGAGTTTAAGGTTATCTTCTGCTGTATAGCACTTTTAAGGCCAGTTTGGGCTGAGATCCTGTCTCAAACAAAACAAAACCATAGAACTCAGGTGTGGTGGCACACACCGTCAATCCCAACCCTCTGGTTGCTGAGGCAGGAGGATTGCAGCAAGTTGGATGCCAGGCCGGTCTACAGAACAAATTTCAGATCAATCAGACCTACAGACCAAGACCTTGTTGACTACTGAACCCATACAAAAAAATGGATTATGGGGGCTGGAGAAATGGCTCAGCGGTTAAAGAGCACTGACTGCTCTTGCAAAGGACCCGGGTTCTATTCCCAGCACCCACATGGCGGCTACGAACCGTCCTTAACTAGTTCCAGGGGAATCCGAAGCCCTCTTCTGACCTCCACAGCATTGCACTGCACGGGTGCACTCACTTACATGCAGGCAATACACTCATACATACGAAATTAAAAAAAAAAAGGATTATGGACAGGGGAGTGACTCAGTGGGTAAAGGCACGGCCAAGCTTGAAGATCTGGGTTCCATCTCCACCCACGCTGAAAGGTGAGAACCGACTCTCACAGGTTGTCTGACTTCCACATGAGTGCCAAGGCATGCACACAGACATATAAATAAATTTGGGGGGGGGGCTGGAACTCACTATGGAGACGAGGCTGCCCCCAGTCTCATAGAGATCCGCCCGCTTCTGCCTCTGTAATACTGGGATTAAAGGCGTGTGCCATCACGCCCGGTCCATTCCTTTATTTTTAAATTTAAAAAAAAAATCAATCAGTGGGGCGTGGTGGCACACGCCTTTAATCCCAGCACAGTCAAGAGGATCTCTGTGAATTCAAGGTCAGCCTAGTCTATATAGCGAGTTCCAGGCCAGCTGGGGCGACAGGGAGACCCTGTTTTAAAAAAACCAAATAATAAATAATAAATAAATAAAAAGTAATAAATAGAAAAAAATAAAGGAATGGAAGTTTCAAACACTACGCTAAGAAAAGTGGACTACCAAACCGGAAGTGCGGCACCACCAAGTCTAGAGGCAGGATACACTGGGGCCAGTCGTCATTTCTGAGACTGGAAACGGGCCAGCCTCTGAAAGCCGAAGACGCATGCGCGTTGCTTAGCTGGCCCAATCAGGAGGAAGCGAGGCGGGCGTTAGGCGGAAATACTATTTACAAATAGGAAGTGTGGCAGTGTGCCCGGGGAACGGCTGGTGGTGCCATGGAGGCGTATGAGCAGGTCCAGAAGGGTCCCCTGAAGCTGAAGGGCGTCGCGGAAGTCGGCGTGACTAAGCGGTGAGGCCCCAGCGCGGCCTGTGCCCGACCCCGACCCAGACCCGGATCGCGCGCTCACTCCCTGTCTCCCCAGGAAGAAGAAGAAGGACAGAGACAAGGCTCAGCTGCTGGAGGCCATGGGGACCAGCAAGAAAATCGAGGAGGAGAAGAGGCGCTGCCTGGACAAGCGCACGCCGGCGCAGGCAGCCTTCGAGAAGATGCAGGAGAAGCGGGTGAGGCGGGTGGGAAAACCGCAGGGCCCCGGGGGCCCCCAGCTGCCTGGGCGGCCTGCCTGTACACCCTGGCCTGTCCTTGTGGGCACTCACTCGGTCTCTTCTCTCTCTAGCAAATGGAGAGAATTCTGAAGAAGGCGTCTAAAACCCACAAGCAGAGAGTGGAGGTGAGCCCCGTCTGCTGGAGGCCAGCTTGGGGTGGGGGAGTGCCAGCTGCCCAAGCTCTGTCGAGGTGCTGTGAGGCCTGCAGGGTAGAGAAGTGGGGCGGGCCTAGGCGGGTGGCGCTGCCCTCCTGGCCATGCTGACAGGTCTCCTCTGCCACAGGACTTCAATCGGCACCTGGACACGCTCACGGAGCACTACGACATCCCCAAAGTCAGCTGGACCAAGTAGTGGAGTGGGGCTCAGGCTGGCCTCATTTTCTGGAAAGTTCTACACTTGTCCTGTGCATCAGCTGAGATCAGGCTTTCTGAAACTGTGCCGCTTCTGGGCCGTGATTAAAGTCAGCTGTCCTTTCTCTGGGTCTTGGTTTCTGGGAGAGGGACGCCCCCTTCAGTGTGGGGCTGCAAAGTTGTGCTTTTACCCAGAGGCTAAGGCTGCTTCTGGTGTGGGGAGCGTTGTGTCACGTTGTGTCTGTCTGTCTTGCGCCCCCCCCCCCACACCACAGTTGCCTCCTAGGTTTGGAGGCCAGCATCTGTCTCTACCTGCTCCATGTGTTGAACTCCAGGATAGGCAGCCTCTGCCAGTAGATCTCCACTATACTACCATGGGAGGCTTGGACCCAAGGTGGCACTTTATCTGGGCCACCAGGCCTTTAGACCACGAAGTCCACATAGTGGAATAGCCACCTTAGGCAAGGATGGACACAGCATACAGCCTGTCCCTCAGCTTGTCCACCTGTTGCTACCACAGCAGACACTGCTAGCCAATCCCAGTTCTCAGTGATGGCACAGTGAGCCTTGCAGCCCTCAGCTTGGAGTTCTAAGTGGATGTTTGAATTTTATGGGACCTGTTTTGGCATTCCTGGCCTGAGTGCATCACACACCAGACATGCCCAGCACAGTGCCGATGCGGACATTGGAACTATGAGATGGGAGTGTCCTAGTGCCCACGCTGCAGAGCTGCAGCCGCTACCAAGTGGACCATTGAGAATCACGTTGTGTGCTGCTGGGAGAAGCAGCTTCGGTTGTCATGGATACTGAAAGATACATAGGAAGCACTGAGGTGTAGAGAATAAAGCAAGTGCCAGTTGTGAAATAGTGTGGTCTCTCCAGTCTCTGTCCCAGAACACCCTTCAGTTTCGCCACATGAAGAATGTGTACAGTGTAAAACTACTCAATTTTGCAAGATAGAAGACTTATTTTGGTTTTTTTGAGAGAGGGTCTCCCTTCTAGCCCCAGCTGGCCTTGAACTCACAGAGATCCATCTGCCTGCCTCCTCTTCCCAAGTGTTGGGATTAAAGGATGTGCCACCACAGCCAGCACAATAAGTAAATTGTGGTTTTTTTTGGTCTTTATGAAACAGGTTTCCCTGTAGCCCAGCTAGCCTGGAGCTCACTATGTAGACCAGGCTGGCCTTGAACTCACAGAGATCCGCCTGCCTCTGCCTCCCAAGTGCTGGGACTACAGGCCTGCGCCACCATGCCTGGCTTTAATAATAAAAAAAAAATAAAATAAAAAATAAGTGAAAGCTGGGTTTGGTAGCAAACACTTTTTATCCAAAAAATGTGGGAGGCAGAAGCAGGTGGATCTTTCTGAGATTAAGACCACCGTGGTCTACATAGTGAGTTCCAGGCCAGCTGGGGCTACAGAGGAACCCTGTCTCAAAAAAGAAAAAACAAAACAAAAACGGTCTGCAAGATGTCTCAGCAGTAAAGGCACTTCCCACCAAAACTGATGACCTGAGTTCCATCTCTGGGCCCTACATGGTGGAAGGAGAGGGCCAACTCCTGCAGTTTTCCTCTGACCTCTACAAGTGTTCTGGGGTGCATACGCACATCAAGAAAAATTATAACAATGGCGGGCTGGAGAAATGATTCAGCAGTTAAGCGCATTAGCTGCCATTGCAGAGGACCTGGGTTTGGTTCCCAGCACCCACATCACAGCTGACAGCCGTCTGTAACTCTTGTTCCAGGGGCTCCACAGCCTCTTCTGACTTCCACAGGCATTACACAACACGGGTGCACTTACATATAAGCAGGCATTACACTCATACAAATAAAAAGATATTTTTAAACACTGGGGGATGAGGGTCTGGATTCAGTCTTCAGTACTGAAGAAAAAGGAAATTACGAAAAAATCCGATCGATTCACCGGTTTTCTCTATGCGATGGCTACTAAGTACAGAAGCCACGTGTTCTCGAAGGCCTGGTTGAGTGGGATAGGGGCTTTACGAGAGCCTTCTAGGCTGTTATTGACAAAGGTTGGCGCTGACAGGTGAGCACAGGTGATAAGGACTTACTACCATTCAGAGACACGGGGATTTCTTCCTGCCTTAAGCAAATCTCAGCCAGTGACTGGATCTTAGTTTCCTAGACTCTGCCTTGCAAACATAAGGCTGGGCTTCCAAATCTGTTCCCCAGCTGGTGTCTCCCAACAGGAGCCAGTTGGTGCAGCCGGCCTACATCCCACTGCGAGCCAGCCAGCTAAAGAAATGCGGATACTGGCAGGCCCCGCCCCGCCCGGCCAAGCTCCTCCTGGTCGGCCCCGCCCCCTGAGCTCGTCTTCCGGCCTGTTTGACGCTTGAGCAAAAATTTACTGCCCGGTAGCTATTACTACGCCTGCGCACCCGCGGCCGCCCGCCTCCGACCGGACATAACGGTCGGCGTGCTGCTCCATGGACCGGAAGTGGAAGGGAAGTGTCACGGGGCGCGCCGGGCCTTGCTCAACGCCGGCAGTTCCTGCCGTTGCCGTCGACCTCGGCTACTGCCGAGGCCTTTCGCAGCCGCCATGTCCGCCAGCGCCGTCTACGTGCTGGACCTGAAGGGCAAGGTACTGAAGGGCTCCCCACCCTCCGCGTTGCCAGGCAACCAGCGGGGCCCTCGGGACCCACCCTGTTGCTAGGTAACCAACAGACGGGCCTTGCCCTGGCTTTAGGCTGGCCTGGCAGCTTCTCCTGACGTCTCGCCTTGTTGCTAAGTAACAGGTCTTCCCTCCCGGAGCCCTGCCCGGTCGCCAGCCAACCTGGTGGGCGGAGGTTGCTAGGTAACCCTCTACGTCGCTCCTTTCCCGCCTCCCTCGCTGGGTGCGGGGCTTGTCTCAGTCGCGGACCGGAAGTCGCCGCCTGGGGCCTCGAGGGCTGACCGGTTGTGCGTCCGCCGGGGCGCCCTTGGCCAGGGCGTGAGTGGAGTCCTGGAGTCGGCCCTACCCTTTCCCCTGGAAGGGCTGAACTCCCGTTGTGACACTGTGAGGCTAGTGATGGAGGGTCCTCGAAAGTCCTTCCCTTCACTGGACGCTTGCAGAGAACGTGCCGCGAGCCAGGCAGGGTGCGAAGCCCAGGCCAAGTCGGAGGGCAGATCAGGCTTGGCTGAGGAGCTCAGTCATTAGGAAAAGCAAAAATAAATGCCAATGTGTCTATAGTAGGGACTGGTAGCCCTCTGGCTGAGGTTCCGTGAAGAGGGGATAGCAAATGGTGCTGAGAAACAGGACCCAGGCATCGTCCCAGGGATATATGAGAAAGAAAACTTATTTATGTGTGTGTATATAGGGGTGTGTGTGTACATGTGTGTGGAGGCTCTTCCACCCCTACGTGGGTTCTGGCATCAAGCTCAGCTCCCCAGGTTGGCACCGCAGGCGCCTTTACCCTCTGAGCCATCTCAGTGGCCCGTTTGTTTTGTGAGTAAAGTTCTTTCACTGGCCAGGAACATTGGACTAGGCTGCCTGGCCATTAAGCCCTAGTTGCACTTTTCTGCCCTCAACACTTGCCACCATACCTTGCTTCTTTGCCTGGGTTCTGGAGACCAAACTCAGGTCACTTGTGCAGCAATCACTCTACTGGCTGAGTTATCAACCCAGTCTGTTTTATTTCTGTTTTTGTGGTGATGGGACTAGAACCCAGTGCCTCAAGTGTGTTCAAGTGCCCTGCCATCAAGTCATGGCACCCAGTGCAAAAACTTCTTGCAGAAAGGCTTGTCCAGCTTTCAGGAGTGTCCTGGGTGGAAGGCAAGTGGCCGGTCTTTTCATGTGGAAGCCACCAGAACAGGTCCAGCCAGAGTAAACAAGTCAAAAACATCAGTGGGAGAAATATGGGTGTCTGTCCCAAGTGGTGCTCAGTAGTAAAGAGATGGGGTGCCCCACCCCAGCATTTTCCTTAGTCCCTGTGTTTCTGCCTTGGATGCCACCCAGGGTCAACATCTGGTGAGTTCCAGACCTGGGCTCCCTCCCCAAGCCTTCTGGGAAGCTGTGTGGGGCAGTGTTCCTTAGGTCTTGTGCTCAGTACTCTGCCTGGCACAGTGGTGCAGTAGGCTGCCTGTCTCAGCTTGCTTGTTCCTTTAGCAAACATCTCACAAGCATCTAGCAGGTGCCCAAGTCTGGGCTGAAGCAGTGCAGTTAAGGCTGGCCTCAGGACCCATCTATGCAGCCAAGCTGTGTGACCATGGACAAGCACCTTGGCCTCTCTGAACCTTGTCTTCCTGGCTGGTCAGAAGATGTTTTGGCTGGAGTTTTTGTGTGAGACAGGCACGACCATGACTCAGAGTGCAGATTAGTTTCCACAGGCCTCTTGGCCTAGCAGGAGAGAGATTTGGACCAGCAGCCACAGGGGCAAGTTCCAAGTAAGAGTGACTCAGAGTTGTGTTTGGCCATTAGAAGGCTCCCTGGCCAGGTGGCACCTGAACTGGTTTTGAGTAGGTGACCAGGTGATGGTCAGGTGAAAGAAAGGTACCCCAGCTGTCATGAAGGGTGCAGGACAGCCCATGGAGTCTAGAGACTTCAGCCTACAGGGTAGCATTCTCAGACTCTGATTAGAGGGGTCCCCAGGGCCACTATAGTTCCAGGAAGGAGCCCCTGGGTGAGAAGGTGCCTCTGGGAAGCTCCCCAGGGTGGTTGGGAGCCTCCTGCAACCAAGACACTCTTGTGTCTACATGTCCATCTGCCAGGCAGAGCCTCTGAGGCCAAGCTAGCTCAGGTGGCCACCTTGCCAGGTAGAAGGTCCTCCAAGGACACTTGGCTGCCACCTCTTGCTGCTGGAGAGGGTGCCAACCATCAAGCTTCACCCCTGTTCCTCTTGCTGCTGCCCTTCAGTGCCTGGGAACAAAGCCCAAGGCTGTCTCCATGACTGACAGGTGCCTGTGTAGTCTTCACCTTCATAGCCACTCCATCGTCTTTGTCTACTTGGCCCTGGCTCATTCTGTTGCAGCCAGTGGGGCCCCTTATCTGGTCTGTGGGCAATCCATCTACCACCTCAGGACCTTTGCACTCACCGTTCCCTCTGTGAGAACTCTCTGGCCTGGCTGCTTCTGTTCTCAGCCTCAGCTTAGACAGCGCCTCCTCCAGGAAGTCTGCCCTGCTGGATTGCATTCAACCCCATCACACTATCTACCTGGCCCACACTGCCCACTGCATTACATCATGTTTATCTTTACTTCTCTCATCCTGTGACATTCCAGCCACTCCCTACTCATTCCAGGCTGACTCTCCATGCAAAATAGAGCCTAGCCTTTAGGAGGTGCTCAGTGAGCCCCTGTAAGTCCAGAGAGGTCTCACTGAGAAGGACAGCATGCTCTGGGGGGGCACAGGAAGGACAGTGTACCACTCACCATGATTGAGAAAGATCTGTGGATGTCAGGGTACACCTGGGAAATACCCAGGGTGCAGCTTCTGTAGGAATGTAGGACATCCTGGAGGCTGTGGGTGTCAGGAATGGAGGTTGCTACCCCCAGGGGCAGAATGGCAGGTGTGTATGTGTGTCTCTGTTTCTGTGTCTGTGTCTGTATCTGTGTCTCCTTGGCAATGGGCACCTGCCCATGAGCTCCCTGATGGCTTTGGGCAGGGAGAGGCCCATCTGCATAGCTTCTGTTGAAGACGAGCCCTGTCTAGCCACATGGGGAGAGACCAAGGGCTGAGAGGATGGCAGGGAGAGGGCTGCCACCCAGTGACTCCCTGCCTGCTACACCCCAACACTGAAGCTGGCCGCCCTCTAGTACCCCAGAATCTCCAGGTCCCCTCACCACCGTCCTCACCATTCTTTCAGGCATTGATTGAAGTTGAGGGCCATGTGCAGGTCCCCAGTTCCCTCAAGCAGCTATGATAGTGCAGGAGCCTTGTCGGCCTCAGCTACCATGGTAGCCCAGGGCAATGTCACCATGCTGGTCATGGTGCTTGTTTGCTGAGCCAGGTGCTCCAGGCTGGGTTTTTGTTTTTGTTTTTGTTTTTGTTTTGTTTTGTTTTTTGAGTTCTCCAGTCTATATGCTGGACACCTGGAAAAGAAAGTGGGCCCAGAGGAGTTCAGGACAGCAGTGCCCAGCACACAGCTAGCTAGCCATGCAGTGAGATCTGAAGTGAGGATATCATGGGGTCTTGGCCCACTTGCTGTGTGTCCTCAGGCAGGTGGTTGCACCTCTCTGTGCATTGTGGGCCATCTGTGAAAATAACTGGCCTACCATAGAAGGGATGGCAAGAGGGACAGGAGTGGGCACAGGTGAAGCCCTCACCAGGGCCAGGCCACCAGAGCCACAAGCTCACTCAGTATGGTGGCTCACACCTTTAATTCCAGCATTTGGGAGGCAGAGACAGGCAGGTCTCTCAGCCCGAAGTCTGCCTGGTCTGCATAGTGAGTTCCAGGCTAGCTGGGGCTATATAGCGCGACCCTGTCTGGGGGGGGGGCGGAAATCTGAGGGTGGAAAGATGGCTCAACAGGTGAAGAGCTCACTATCCAAGCATAAGGACCTGAGTTTGGATCCCCAGAACCCACAGAAATGCCAGGCAGGTGTGGTGACCACCTGTGATCTCAGCATATTGGAGGCAAGACAGCAACCCAGGAGCAAGCTGGCTGCTAGCCACAGCAGTGAGCTCTGGGTTCAGGTGAGACCCTGCTTCAGTATGTGAAGTGGAGAGCGATGGAGGAAATCAAACCACAGGCCCCTCATGCACATGCACACAAATGGCAAGAAAGTATTACATCGGAGCCAGGGTTTGTGACTCATACTGTAACCCCAACAACACTCCAGAGATTGAGGGCATGAGAATCGCCATGAGTCTGAGGCCAGCCTGGGTGACACAGAGAGACTCTGGAAAAAGCATCTGCACAGTCAGCCCCAAGTCATCATCTAGGAACAGGTCAGAACCCACAGAGGTTTTCACAGGCTCAGATGGCACAGCACTGTGTACAGAAAACTGGAGTGCCTTTGGGTTTTAGAGTCCTGAGCGTCTGGGAAAGGACTCTGTTCCTTTCTGTGGCTATGGAATACTGTGGCCAGACACAAACCCAGCTTCTTGTTCATCTGTTGAAAGACACGGAATCATCTCTATGTCATTGTCTCTGGTCTGCGTCTGTTTAAAGCCAAACCACTAAAGTGTTGTCCATAGATGTGGGCTGGGTATGGTAGCAGCACTCTAGAAGCAGGAGGGTTAAGTGTTCAAGGTCATCTTTGATTACATTGTGGATTTGAGGCCAGCCTGGGCTACCTGAGCCTTTGTCTGAACCCCCTACCCTCATTCTCCCGAGTCTCCACATAGACAGATGCTCCTCTGGTAAACGTCTTTAGGAGGAACTATCAGGTCACATGGAAATTCTGGTGTCCTTTTTTTTTTTTTTTTTTTGAGACAGGGTCTCCCTGTAGCCCCAGCTGGCCTGGAATTCACTATGTAGACCAGGCTGACCTTGAACTCACAGAGATCCACCTGCCTCTGCCTCTCAGGTACTGGAATTAAAGGCATGCACCACCATGCCCAGCACCAATTATCTTAATATCATGAGAAATAATAACACTGCTAAATTTACCATCTGTTATGAGGACTTTTTAGATGGGGCTCTAAGCAGTGCCAGTCCTCTCACAAGTTTCTAATGACTAATATTTGAGTTCACAAAAATGAACAATTGATTAATTGTGCCAAATAAGTTAAAGCCGGAATTCTTGGAGTAGCTAAATCAAACTATAATAAGACTTTGGCCAGTAAAGGGGGCTGGAGAGATGGCTCAGCAGTTAAGAGTACTGACTGCTCTTGCAGAAAGCCCGGGTTCAATTCCCAATACCAACATGGTAACTAACAACCATCCATAACTCCAGTTCCAGGGGATCCAAAACCCTCTACTGATCTCCACGGGCATTGCATGACACAGGTGCACCTACCTACATGCAGGCAATATACTCATACACATAAAATAAAAAAAATAAACCGGGCATGGTGGCACATGCCTTTAATCCCAGCACTTGGGAAGCAGAGGCAGGTGGATCTCTGTGAGTTCAAGGCCAGCCTGGTCTACATAGAAGGTCAGCTGAGGCTACAGGGAGACCCTTGTCTCAAAAAGACAAAAAAAAAAAAAAAAAAAGACTCTGGGGACTGGAGAGATGACTCAGCAGTTAAGAGCACTGGCTGTTCTTGCAGAAGACCCTGGTTCAAATCCCAGCACCCACAGGACAGCTAACAGCCATCTATTAACTGCAGTTCCAGGGGATTGGATGCTGTCATCTCTCCTCTGCAGGCACTGAAAGACACAGATGCACTTACACATATGCATGTATAACAGTTATACACATAAATTAATAAATAAGCTAGGTATGGTGGCACATGCACTTGGGAGGCAGGGGCAGGCAGATCTGTGTGTGTTCAAGGCCAGCCCAGTCTACATAGTGAGCTCCAGGCCAGCATGGGCTACAGGGAGATCCTGTCTCAAAACAACCAAAAAAAAAAAAAAACGAAAAATTAAATAATTTTTTAAAAAATTTAAAATTGGGACTATGGGAAGTGACAAAAGTCAGAACACTCTGATTTTGAAGGGTCACTCTTTGATATCTCTGAGTTTTTGTACGTTCATGAGTAAGTGGCACTCTCCTTGAATCAAGCCAACAAAAGGATCTGCTTTTACTATTGCCAAACTTGAGTTTCTCCCTGGATGTATTTGTGGTGATAAGATGTTTAAAGGCTTATACCCACTGTTAGTTAGCTTGTGTCTATAAATGGAGGAAAACTAAAGTATCCTCTCTCCATAATGATATTTTCCATTAGACGTCATTTTTATTCTCTGGTTAAATTCTGACTAGACTTGAATGCAGAAAATTGGACTTTTTCCTTGGAGATCTAGGTCAAACAGATACAAGCCAGGGGTGACTTGTTATCCCTGTATCTAAATTTCTCTTGTTTTGCTCTCTGGAGGTTTTTATATCTCCCCTCATGAGACCATGAGGAATAAGACCTTTGTCAGATGTAGTCTCTCTTCTCACTGACAAGACCTGAATTTTCCTGTATCTCATCCCTCTTTACTAGTGACCATAAAGAATGTAAGGCCTATTTTGGAGTAGTTACTCTCACTGATGTGACGTTCATATTAATATGCTATGACCTACTGAATTTTTATTTAACTTAATTTTTGCCTGGTTAAATTGATCCTGTCTGTGCAGGTCCCACCACTTACAAATCTTCTAGAGTAAATATTGGCATTACACGTATTATGGAAGTCAGCTAACTTCTATCGATCGTAAGTTAAAGACAGTCTTGACTTCCTTGGGAAGTCACCTTAAGTGTTCCCTTTTTAAAAATTTATAATTTTTAGGTAAGCATGATAGCACACAGGATGAATTTCTCTTTTAAAGAGGCCTATCAGTGGCTATCTGCATTAGAAAAACCATATTATAATTTACCACACATGATTCTGAATTAAATGCTCATAATTTAGAGAATTTGGGACACAAAACAGTAACATCTAAAAGAACTTGGAAAAAAAGTTTTTCTTTTTCTTTTTCTTTTTTTTTTGGTCTTGTTGACACAGGGTCTCTCTGTAGGCCCTGCTGGCCTGGAACTCACTATTGTAGACCAGGCTGGCCTCAAACTCACAAAGATCCGCCTACCTCTGCCTCCCGAGTGCTGGGATTAAAGATGTGTGCCACCACGCTGGGGACTTAACTAGTAGCCTTGTTGTTCACCTTTTTTCCCCAAGATTCTGAATTAAGCATTCCATGGTTTGGCAACCAGGGAAAATAGTTCTGAATAGCATTTTAAAAAATATTTTCATTTCATGTGTATGAGTGTATTGGCTGCATGTATGTGAGTGCACCCGTGTCGTGCAATGCCTCAGAGGTCAGAAGAGGGCTTGGAGTCCCCTGGAACTGGAGTTAAGGATGATTTGTAGCCGCCATGTGGGTTCTGGGAATTGAACCTGGATCCTCTGCAAGAGGAGTCAGTGCTCTTAATCGCTGAGCTATCTCTCTAGCCCCTGAATAGCATTTTTAAAGTTCACAAGTTTGCTTTAGTTCCAATTCCTTTGTGTGTGTGTGTGTGTGTGTGTGTGTGTGTGTGTGTGTGTGTCTGTCTTTGTCTTTGAGACCGGGTCTCCTTATAGCCACAGCTGGCTTAGAACTCACTATGTAGACCAGGCTGGCCTTGAACTCACAGAGATCCTCCCGCCTCTGCCTCCCTAGTGCTGGGATTAAGGGCATGCAGTTCCAATTCCTTTAAATAAATTAACTGCTGTGCATGTGTGCAAGATTCAGGAGACAGAGATCCCCATAGTGAAAGATGAAAGGAAAAGTTTCGAGCACAGTTTCTTATAGTTCAGGCTTGGTAAAGAAGGAGATACAAGCAAAAAGTGAACAGAGAATTACTACTGCACATTGGGGTGAGCTCTGAGAAAACCTTGTACTGGTTGTCAAGTCACTTGCCCTTGTTCATGACCGAGAACATCCAAAAATTCCGTTTTTCCTGGGACTTTTCCAGGCCCCTATCCCCACTGTTAACGTTGTGTCAGGAGGTGTCAAGGGAAGTGTTGTGCTTATTGTCAGCTTACAGTGTGTGACTGTCCTTTTCCTCAGGACTTCTACAGCTGCTGACCTGTGGGTTCAGAGTAGAGAGCCTCTTCTTCACAGAAGGCACCAAAATAGAGTTACCATGCCAACATTACAGTTATCCCTGAATAAGTAGCCTGACTCTGAACTTTAGTTACAAAAATGGACTCCAGAGTCAGAGGACACCCATTCCCCTGGATGTCCCTGGAACTGTGCTGTTGATCTAGGCCTCACCCATACTTTTATTCAAAACCATTTCTCTAGCTTAGATTGGGGAACCACAACCTTGGATCCACCCTTCTCTTTCTGGACAATCACCCTTTCATCCCTAGGCCTAAACATCTCATACATTCATCCCAATCTTTATCATTTTTCAATCTCAAGCATTCATCCCAATCTTTATCATTTTTCAATGAAGACGTGCCGCCCTTCAACACTTTGGTTTGCTAATTCTCAGGCACACTTACATTCATTCACTGTCTTGGGTGGAGCAGCAAATTGAGGTTCTGAGGGATCAAGGTCAGGTGCCCAGGTCACAAAAGCACAAGCTCGGTGAACTTCTTTGCAATAGCTTTTTGGTTGCAAGGTTAATTGTAAATCACTAGTCTAGATTCTGTCCATTTTATAAAAGTGATTCTTATAGCTATGTAGCCCTGGCTGGCCTGGAACTATGTAGACAGGGCTGGCCTGCTTCTGCCCTCCGTCTCACCCCTGAGTCCTGGGGTTAAAGGTATGCCCATTGTGCCCAGCCTGGTGTTGCTTTCAGAGGAAGCATTAACTTGTCTGTGTAGTCCCATTCCACACGCCTCTTTCTGATGGGCAAGGGTGCACGTGCTGTACGGCCTAACCCACAAGTGTGAGGAGAAAGGCCAGAGCAGGTCTGTGCTTACAGCCTCAAGACTCCATGGATTTGAACCTCAGAGATGGGGTACCTGGTGCCCACAGGACAGGCTTAGACTGTGCTGAGGGACTCGGCCCTCTCCCCCATGGACTGCAGGAAGCTCACTGTGGGGATTTGCTGTGGACATCCTGGGGTAGAGGCTACTCTGGCCTCAAGTCCTACCCTTTCACAGAAGGGGTGCCTCAGGCAGTCAGAGTAAAGCCACCCCTCCTTCCCCACCAGGTGCTCATCTGTAGGAACTACCGTGGTGATGTGGACATGTCGGAGGTAGAGCACTTCATGCCTATCCTGATGGAGAAGGAGGAGGAGGGCATGCTGTCTCCCATCCTGGCCCATGGCGGTGTGCGCTTCATGTGGATCAAGCACAACAACCTATACTGGATCCTGGGGCTGCAGAGGGCTCCACCAGGGATGGGGTGGAGACAGCCTTGGGGAGGGGCACAAGGTAGAAGGGGGAGTGTTCTAGAAACTGCAGCACATGGCAGGAATGGGGTTCAGCAGGGCCTGAGGTTGGGTGCTAGAGGCTGTCAGTTAAACATAGCAGGGTCTTCAGGCGAGCCATAGGTGTCTTTGTGATCTAGAGTCTGTTGTTGCTGAGTGAGACCAGACTGCTGGGACAGGAGTGGACATAGGTGGACAGAGGGAGGGGAGGGCACTGGACCCTGGAGGGGGGTTGGGATTGAGTGTGGGGAGTCCTCACTGTCCCCTGCATCCCCAGTCTCAAGACAAGCCTTGTGCCACCATAGAAACCCACTGAGGGTGCACCAGCCTCTCCGGGGCTTTGGATAGGCTTCCCCAGGCATACTCCTGTGCCAGGGCCTAGCTTTGCAGTAGGCTGTGGAATGAGCCTGCAGGTCCCTGGTCACTGCACTGCAGCAGTGTGCATGGCCCCTAGCAGGTGCTGGCCTTTCTGGTTAGCGGACACAGATTCATGCCTTGCATCCCCCGTCCCGCCATAGGAACCCTTACGCAGGGTCCTCAAGACCACAGATTAACCATGATGACAGGTGGCTACTCAGGGTTGGTCCCATGCTGGTCCCTCTGGAAGCCCTGATGGTAGGTCTGGAGATGACATAGGTGGCTTAAGTCTCCTGCTAAATTGATGAAGCACAGGTGGATAAGGCCTCCTCCTTGCCTGGGTCTCCCTACCAGGCATGCCAGCCAGGGGGCACTGATGTGACAGGAACAGGGACTCCCCACCATATACCTGCAGAGGAGGAAGCGGTTTTCCCTGGTAGCTCAGGCCTGTGGGAGAGGGAAACAAGCTCCTGGGGCCTGGGTCTGTGCCCACACACTTCACACTTCTGGCTAGTCCCACAGCCCCCACCAGCATGGGACGACCTGGAGGTTTCTGGCCCAGGGCAGTCTGCAAGATCCTGAGGGACAGAGGCACACTCAGCCCAGCAGCCCATGGCCACCCTTTCTTCTGCTTGTGTCCCTCAGGGCTCCCAAACTGGTTGCTACATGTCCCAGGTCTGACTCAGACTAGGGACTTGGGCCCCATCAACAGCTGGAGTGTGGCTGGGGATGGGGTTTGTGAGGTGCTGTTCCTGCCTCAGAAGGTTCCTTGACCATCACTGTGCAGTGGTTGCCACCTCAAAGAAGAATGCATGTGTGTCGCTGGTATTCTCCTTCCTGTACAAGGTGGTGCAGGTGAGGCTGGGGTTGGGGGTCTCCTTCCTGTACAAGGGGTGCAGGTGGGACTGGTAGAGGCTTCCCTCCTGATGTATAACCTCGGAGGTGTCTGCACTGTTACAGCCTCAGGGATTCTGGGCCAGGAAATCTCAGTCTCCTTGCAGGTGGGGGGGGGTCTCTAGCCTTCACTGCACCCCCACCCTGGGGGGTGGGAGTGAACACTCAGGGTAGCACTGCTTTTGTACTGGAGAAATGGTGGGGAACCAGCTGACAGTTACATTGTGGTGGTGGGGTGAGGCTAGGCTCTGCTTCGGACCTTCAGGGCTCACATAGCCCAGATGCCAGTGACCCTGGAGAGAGTTGACACCAGGACCAGACTGACAGTGAGGTAGAGCGGCAGCATGAGTGTGCAAAGGCCCTGGGGCAGGAGGGTGCATGGTGTGATCAGAACCCTGTATCTGGGCATAGCTGGAGACTGGGGTCAGTTAGGTGCTCAAGGCTGGATTGTGGGGATATACAGGAGTGTAGAGTCTGATAAGAGCTGGTACACTTACCCAGGACACCTTTGGGGTTAAAGCAACCCCTGGCTGCTATGTAGAACAGGCTTCACAAGAGGAGGGGCAGGACAGGAGGCACCAAGTCCCCTCAAGCCTGGGTGGGCCCAGCAGGGCTTTCTTCCTTCCTCATGGGCACCCCTATCAGGGCCTGGGGCAGGGACACCCACTGTCTTGACTGGGTGAGCCCAGTAGGGCTTTCTTCCCTTCCTCATGGGCACCCCTATCAATCAGGACCTGGGACAGGGACACCCACTGTCTGACTGAGCGAATGCTTAGGTGGCTTCCTTCTGAGCAGGGTTGCGCAGTGGGCCTGGCTCTGCCGCCTGTTAGTTCAGAGCAGAGGTGATGTGATTAGGGTGGGGGTTATGGGGCGAGCTCATTCCTAGGACTGGCCTTTTTTGCAGGCCTTCTGTGTTAGGGCTGAGGACAGGCCTCCTGGCACTCCTAGCCCCCTCTGGGTCCCTTCCTCAACCCATAGCTATCAATCGAAATGGAGATGTGTCTACAGCCAGACAACCGCAGCTCAGGGAGACAGGAAGCAACCTTGAGTCACTCCAGGTGATAGAGACAGCAGTCCCAATGGACAGCTGAGGACCCAGGCTGACTGGCAAGGGAAGAGAATGGCCTTAGAGCACACCCCTCCACCACCATCCCTCTTCCAGGCCAGTGCCTGTGTTCCTGGCCCATGTCCAGATTCTTGTCTGGGCCTGTGGTATGGCCTCCCTGGGGAGCAGGCAGAAAGACCATTAGTTCCTACCTTGGGAGAATGTGGCTGACAGGCATCATTTGCCCCATCCATACCCTCTTCCCATCCTCCTTCCTACCCCCCAGGTCTTCTCCGAATACTTCAAGGAGCTGGAGGAAGAGAGTATCCGAGACAACTTTGTCATCATCTATGAGCTGCTGGACGAGTTGATGGACTTTGGCTACCCACAGACCACTGATAGCAAGATACTGCAGGAGTGAGTGAGCTGCCATAAAGAGCCTCCCCCGCCCCGCTCCAGCTCAGCATGGGTGGCTTGCTCTTTTCTGTTTTTACTTTTTTTTTAAAATTATGTTTTAAATTTACTTTTATTTTAGGCTGGGCATGGTGGCATGCACCTTTAATCCCAGCACTGGGGAGGCAGAGGCAGGCGGATCTCTGTGAGCTTGAAGCTAGCCTGGTCTACATAGTGAGTTCTAGGCCAGCTGGGGCTACAGGGAGACCCTGTCTCAAAAAGACACACACACACAAAATTTTATTTTATGTGTATGAGTAAAGTTTTGCCTGTATGCATGCCATGCCTGTGGAGGCCAGAAGAGGGCATCTGAGGGAACTGGAGTTACAGTCAGTTATTAGCCACCATGTGGGTGCTAGTAATTGAACCTCAGGTCCTCTGCAAGAGCAGTGCATGCTCTTACCTGCTAAACCATCTCTCCAGCCCCTGTTTTGACTCTTTGAGAAAGGGTGTTGTGTAAGCCAGGCTCTTGCTCCTTCAGCCCTTACCTCTGGAGTGCTAGGGACAGATGAAGGCCATCACCCTGTTCCCCAGCCCTTCCAGGGTCAGGGCAAGACACTGCATGTCACCTCCATAACTGAGTGGGTTGCCCCACAGGTACATCACTCAGGAAGGCCACAAGCTGGAAACAGGAGCCCCACGGCCACCAGCCACCGTCACCAATGCCGTGTCCTGGCGCTCGGAGGGCATTAAGTACCGGAAGAATGAGGTGTTCCTGGATGTCATTGAGGCAGTGAACCTCTTGGTAGGCTGCCTCTCCCTTCCTTTCCTAAGCTGCTGTCTTCCAGTGGGAGGTCAAAGGGATGAATTATAAAAGCAGAGCCTGGGCAGCCTGGGCTGCTGGAAACACCAGCATACTCATGGCAATGTTATGGTGGCATTTGTGAGTCTGAGGTAGAGAGACCTCAAGTTCCAAGACAGCCTAGGCCATCCTATCTCAGAAAAACAAAAACAGAAGTAGTAAAACGGCTCAGCCGGTAGCCTGCTGACCTGTGTTCAATCCCATGGACTCACATGGTGAATGGAGAGAACTGACTCCCATAAGTTGGCCTGATCGCCACATGTGCACACACACACAGAATAATAATAAAATTTTAAAAATTAAAAATAGGTTAAGAGCCAGGCATGGTGGCACATGCCTTTAATCCCAGCACTTGGGAGGCAGAGGCAGGTGGATCTCTGTGAGTTCAAGGCCAACCTGGTCTATGTAGTGAGTCCCAGGCCAGCTGGGGCTACAGGGAGACGCTGTCTCTAAAAGACAAAAAATAAATAAAAAAGGTTAAGAGCGCCTGCTGCTTTGTAGAGGACCTGAGTACAGTTCTCAGCACCCAGAGCTGGTGGCTTACAACCACCCATAACTCCAGCCCTGGGGGTTCCAGTGTCCTCTTCTGGTGTGGCATTCATTCACATGGGCAACACACGTAAGTAAAAACAATGAAAATAAATCTAAAATAAAAATTGTAAAAAGATGAAGGTAGGGAGATAAGCTAGCTCAGTGGTGAAGTGTGCAAGCCTGGGGACTTGAGTTCAGATCCCAGCACACATTAAAAACTGCGCGTGGCAGTACAAACCTGTAACCCCAGCAGTAGAGGGTGGAGACAGGAGGGTCCCAGGGCTCACTGGCCAGCTGGCCTTGCCAAAACACTAAATTCCAGAGAGACCCTGCCTCAAAAAAAAGGACACTATAGAGGAAGATTCCTGCCACCAGCCCCTGACCTTCATGTGTACACATAGGCAGGAGCATCCCAGAATACAAGTTGCACCACTGAGCTTGGCCCTCCTTTCTTATTACCCCCTAGTAGCCTCTTAGGTTGAATCCACCTACATAAAATTAAAGTAAGTTTCTTATAGGTAACATGATGGAGTTTTTTTGTTTGGTTTTTTAAATTACATTTGGGGGAGTGGGGGCACAGCACAATTGTCCTACCATGTGTGTCCTGGGGATCAAACGCAGGTCCTCAGGCTTGGCAGCAGGTGCCTTTACCTGCTGAGCCATCTTACAAGCCCACATAAGTTTTCAATCCCTTCTGAGGCTGGACATGGCAGTACTCAGCTGTCATCCCAGTACTTGGAATGCTGAGGCAAGAGGGTCATAAGTTGAGGCCAGCCTGAGCTCACAGTAAGACCTTATTCCCTCAGCCCTAAAGGAAAAACAACCCTGTCCATCTGACAATTTGTCTTGAGTGTGTGTGTGTGTGTGTGTGTGTGTGTGTCCACAGTTGTGTGTCAGTGCTAGTGTGTACATGTCACAGCATGTGTGTGGCGGTCAAAGGACAACCTCAAACTTCAGTGTTTTCCCTCCCCCTTGTTTGAGGCAGATCTTTTTGTTGTTTTGGCTGTGTAGACAGACTAGCTGGCCATAGGGTGCAGGGAGTCACCTGTCCACCTTCCATCTCCCGTAGGAGCGCTGGGATGGGATCATAGATGCTCATGACGTGTCCAACTTCACATGGGTTCTGAGAATTGGAACTGAGGTCCTTGTGCTTGCATGGCAAGTGCTTTACACACTACACCACCTCCCTAGCCCCGTTTCTGTTTCTCACTGGTGTGTTTAGACCATTGCTGCATCTCTGTGGACTAAGGGCCACCGTTTTACTGTTACCGTCTTCGTGCTCACCTGTTTGCTTTCCCCTGTCTCCTTGTGGATCATTTAAACATTTTTAGGACTCTGTTGTTTCCTCTTTGTGATTTGGCCTGTGTCTCTTTGGGTGCAGTTGGTTATCTTAGTGACTGCCATAAAGCTTGTGGAGCTGCGTGCTGGGTGACAGCATTTTGGCAAATGATGGATCTCACTCATGATAGTGATCCCATAAGGCCACAGAGACCTGAGCAGTCCCCTTGGCCTTGTACTGTGTTAGTGCCATGTCTCACATCATGCCGAATGTTGGTGTAAGCATGCCAGGAGCGCCTGCTGTGCCGGTGTCCCCGCCTACCACGCAGCCACACTCCTCTTGACATATTTCCACACCCTCCTTTTGTCATTATTTTTGAGTGAAACTTTTGTGCCATGTCTAGCACATCACTCAGAAGCTTCACAGGCCTGCAGGTACTGAGAGGCCATAGCTAGTGGGGTTTGGCACTGGTTCATGGAGGGTGACACCATCTAGGTTAGGATCACATGCACCCTCTGTGTTGCTGGCACAGTGACATCACTGGATGCCACATCTGAGCACCGTCCAGTTGCTTTGCATGTGCAACTAGACCTGGGTTCTGTCTGATGGATGCCCCTACTGGAGGTGAAGGCGTTACCACCCCTCCACTCCACCACAGTGACCTTCTGTCCACTTGTGTCAGAAGACTGGACAGATGCCCCTGGACCTCTGTAGATATTCAGATCTGTGCCACAGGTAAGTGGGCTGCTGTCTGGCCCTAGGACTGAGTTAGAATCCTTGACCATGTGTGCCGTTGACCTTGGCCTGTGCATAGTGGCCCTGGCACAAAAGTTGAACCTGTACCCAGCAGCCTGTGCAGGGCGTGGGGCAGGCCAATACTGCTGCCCCAGCTCAGGGGACAACTGGGTCAGCTTGCAGCTGAGCCAGGCCGGAGCTGGGACTGACTCACTCATACCCCTGACACTGTCCCCAGGTGAGCGCCAATGGCAATGTGCTTCGCAGTGAGATCGTGGGCTCCATCAAGATGCGGGTCTTCCTCTCAGGCATGCCCGAACTGCGCCTGGGCCTTAATGACAAAGTCCTCTTCGACAACACGGGCCGTGAGTACCAAGGGCCGTCGTGAGTCCTGGCAGCCCTGCCACGGGGCAGTGGCTTCACCCAGCCCCAAGTTACACCTGAGGGCGTGCTCACCCTGCAGACAGCTAGCTGCTTTCAGGTGCTGGGTCAAAGACAGTTTTATGAGCTGGCAGGATTGCCACCAAGCCTGATGACCTGAGTTTGATACCTGGGATGCACATGATGAAAGGAGAAGACAAACTCCCACAAGTTGTCCTCTGACCTCCACATGTGTGTTGTGGCATGCACATGCGCACGAGTGTGCGCGCACACACACACACATTCTCTCCTACATACAATAAGATAAAAAAAAAAATAAAGAGCCAGGTGTGGTGGTGCATGCCTTTAATCCCAGCACTTGGGAGGCAGAGGCAGGCAGATCTCTGTGAGTTCAAGGCTAGCCTGGTCTACATAGTGAGTTCCAGGTCAGCTGGGCTACAGGGAGACCCTGTCTCAAAAAGACCAAATAAATAAAGAGTTACATGTTGCCTAAAAGACCTCCAAGGTTAGGGCTGTATGTAGCTCAGTGGTAGAGTCTTTGCCCAGTATACCTGGGTTCACCAAAAAAGACAAAGACCCAGGTTGGTGTGGTGGTGCCTGCTGTCATCCCAGCACTTAGGCTGAGGTAGGAGGATCAGGAGTTTTAGGCCAGCCCAGGCTACAGATTAGGACTACAGTGTGAGACTGTCACAATAAATTAAATAAATAAATAATAAATAAATAAATAAATAAATAATAAATAACTCAAGAAAACAAAAGGTGAGACTTAGAGAGACAGCTCAGTGGTTAAGAGCACTGGCTGCTCTTGCAGAGGACCCAGGGTCAGTTCCCAGCACCCACATGTTGGCTAACAAACATCCCTAGCTCTAGTTTCAGGGCCTTTGACGCCCTCTTCTGGCCTCCATGGGCTTTGCATGACATAAGTGCACTCACTTATTAACCTGGCACTTAGATGCCATCAGGAGGCCTGTCCTGTCTCCCAGATCCCATTTCCTCAAGTCTGGGCTGTTGGACAGTCGCACACCAAGGCTGGACTTTCACCACTCACAGCACTTCATACAGCAGGGCACAGTGCAGGGTGGACGGCCTGGGCCCTAGGTTTCTGGGGCTCTTTGTTGGCTAAACCACCCAGGCCAAGATGGGAGGAGCAGTCTGGATTGGTTCCTAGCCCTTGAGAGCCTCCTGGTCCCCTCCTAGCACTCACTGCCAAGGGGTCTGGTCCTAGCCCATGGGAGTCTGAGCCATCACTGCTCAGGCATCCTGTGCAGCAGCCCTGACCGGTGCTGGGCCCTGACCCCTAGGTTCTACGTCAGCATCTTACTGGGATGTGGAGGCAGGAAGATGACAGGAACCACCTCCTTAGCATGTGTTGTCAGAGATGCATTCTGGGTGTGGAGTGGAGCAGCCCCTAGCAGTGGGAGCGGCAGGCAGGGCCCCAAGGCCTGTACCAGCCTGATACCCCTGCCCTACGTAGGCGGCAAGAGCAAGTCCGTGGAACTGGAGGACGTGAAGTTTCACCAGTGCGTGCGACTGTCACGCTTTGAGAATGACCGCACTATCTCCTTCATCCCTCCTGACGGCGAGTTTGAGCTCATGTCGTACCGCCTCAACACCCATGTGAGTGCCTGCAGGGTGTCAGGTCCACCCAGCACCCATAGGAGTGTCTGCTGGGGTGCCAGGTCTCAGGTGTAGTGCCCTCTAGGGACTCTGCTACAAGCCCACTGAGGTGGATTGGAAGCCTCAGCCACCGCTGGCAGTGACAGCTGCTGCACCAGCTTCGAGGCCTTGGGAAGGGCTTCCCATCGAGGCCATGATGCTTCACTCCTCTGCTGGCCCTTGCCTGGTCTCTGTTTCCCTCCTGTAACATGGAGCTTTGTGAGGGCAGCAGATTGAGCACCACCCTCCCTGCAGGTGAAGCCCCTGATCTGGATTGAGTCTGTGATTGAGAAACATTCACACAGCCGAATTGAGTACATGATCAAGGTCAGCAGGCATTAGGGTCAGTAGGGGAGGCTCTGTCAGTGGGTACAAGGAGCATGGGCTCATCCTAGGGACATTGCCCTTATCCTAGAGGGAGAAAGGGAGGGAGAGGCTGGGAGGTAAGGAGTATCTGGGAGGCTGTTGAGTGTGGGCAGTGCCTGGAGAGCAAGACGGTGGCAGAGTAGGGACCCACTGCCAGGCGGGAATTGCGTGGCCCTGGAGGGCTCAGTTGCCTCACCTGTACCCTTCAGAACCTTCCCCTGTAATCTTCTCATAGGCCAAGAGTCAGTTTAAAAGACGATCTACAGCCAATAATGTGGAGATCCATATCCCAGTCCCCAACGACGCGGACTCACCCAAGTTCAAGACAACCGTGGGCAGCGTGAAGTGGGTCCCAGAGAACAGCGAGATTGTGTGGTCCATCAAGTCCTTTCCAGTGAGCCCTTCTTTCACTCCATTCCCCCAGCATTCTCCACACCTGCCTGTCCCAGAGTTCTCCTGGGAGGCACTCTTTGGGGGAGGCAGCAGCCCTGCAGGGTGGCATCCTGGTCCCCACTAGCACAGAGCCACATTCCTCTGATCCCCAGCTATCCCCAGCACAGTTGAAGGAGTCCAGGCAGTAGATCCAGTGCCCCGCATACCTCCACTGCAGAAGGTCTGTAGACAGAGGCAATGCCTCCCTCAGCTGGAGCATCCTGTGGCATTGCCGAACCTACAAACAGAGCCAAGGCTGGAGACAGAACTCTGACAGAACCCCCTCCCCACTGAATCACAGTGTGAAGCCCTTGTGAACCAGGGGCCCTTGCATACTGGGGGATATCACATGGACTCAGGAAGCAGCGGTAAGGAGGAAGGCCAGGTTAAGCTAAACTCTGCCAGCGCTGGCCACAGCGTTGCAGGTTTGACTTGTCAATGTTTGCCACGTGACTCACCTTTGCCCCACTCCCCCTTCCCTGGCCACTGCTTCTTAGGTTTGGACGTCCCTGTGGACCTGTCCTGGAATCACAGTGTCTGCCCTATGTAACTGCCTTTTGTCCCCTGACAGTGTTCTCAAAACTCATCCATGAGCTTTATAAAAGGGGATTTAAAAAAAAATTTATTATTTTTATTTTATGTGTATGAGTGTATTGCCTGCATGTGTGTAAATGCACCCATGTCATGCAATGCCCATGGAGGTCAGAAGAGGGTGTTAGAGCCTCTGGAACTGAAGTTATAGATGACTGTTAGCTACCATAAGGGTGCTAGGAGCTGAACCCAGATCCTCTGCAAGAGCAGCCAGTGCTTTTAACCACTGAGCCATCTCTCCAGCCCACAAAAAGGGATTTTTAAGGACCAAATAATATTGCAGTGGGTGAGTGACCATATTATGTTAACCTAGACATTTTCCACAGAGTTGCACCAAGTTTAGCTGTGGTGATGTGGTATTCAGACTTCTGCCTTCCATTCTGACATATACCCACAAGTAGAATTTGTGTGTGTGTGTGTGTGTGTGTATTGTCTGCATGTATGTGAGTGCACCCGTGTCGTGCAGTGCTGCAGAGGTCAGAAGAGGGCTTCAGAGTCCCCTGGAACTGGAGTTAAGGTCGGTTTGTAGCCGCCATGTGCGTGCTGGAAATTGAACCCCGGTCCTCTGCAAGAGCAGTCAATGCTCTTAACCACTGGGTAATCTCTCCAGCCCCAGTCCTTTCTTTTTTTTAAAGGCAGGGCCCCCTGTAATCCCAGCTGACCTGGAACTCGCTATGTAGACCAGGCTGGCCTCAAGCTCACAGAGGTCAGCCAGCCTCCCGAGTGCTGGGGCTAAAGGCGTGGGCCACCATGTCTGGCCCTCATAAGTAGAATTTCTGAATGGTTTGTGAATTCTAGTTTTAATTTTTTCAAGAACCACCCTAGTGTTTTCCACAGCAGTAGCACCATGTCCCATTCCCACCAGAGGTTCTCCAGGTTCCTCACAGTGCAGGACTTTGTAAGAGGAGGATTCTGGTGACTGGGGTGGTGTCTCCTGTTAACTCTTCATTTGCTTTTCCCTAGTGATGAGTGGTGCTGGGCATGGCTCTGCATGTTCACAAGACAGAATTGTGTTCTGTGGTTTCTGTTGGGACCCTCCACTCCTTTGTCAATTGGGCTATTGGGTTTTTGTTAGTGATTTTTAGGAATCCTCTCCATAGTGTAACCAAAACTTCCTTCCATTCCATGGGTTGTCTTTTTACAGCAAGACAGTCTTTATGTGTGTATGTGGTGCTAGGCAAAGAACCCAGGGCATTATGCATGCTTGGCAAGCACTCTACCAATTGAACCACCCCCTTCACCCCTTCATAAGGTTTTTGATTGATATCTGAAGTTAAGAATGGGGTGCAGACTTCCTTTTATTTTGCTTGGGAGCGTGTCCACCTGGGTTTTGCAGCCATGTCCCCCTTCCGAGTACTCTGGCTTCTACTGCAGTGGCCGAAGCAGCCTGGGCTGACCTGTCAGTGCTAAGGGTGCCCAACGCACGGCCATTCCTGTGAAGCTGTTCTTCAGGTCCCCATTGCTGTGGGATCAGCCCGTGTCTATTGCCCCTCATGGAACTTGGCTTTGTGTGCCGACAGCTGAAGACAGGGGCTTTCCCTTTCTCTCCTTCCTGTTTTGACAGTACTCTGATCTTCTTTGTTTTTTTAATTTATTTTGTTGTTGGGTTTTTATTGTTTGTGGCAGGAATCGAACCTAGGACTTCATTCATACTAGGCAAAGCTCTACCACTGAGCTACAGCCCTTTTGTATTTCAGTCTACTATTTTCTCGGTTTAAAAAAAAGCCTAGTGGTTGTCTGTTTTTCCAGACTGCTTTTTAATTGCTCTTTTGTATTCCCTTTTTCTTGTTTGTTTTTTAACATTTTATTTTTATTGTATGTATATGAGTATATATTGCCTGCATGTATGTAAATGTACCTATGTCACACAGTGCCCAAAGAGGTCAGAAGAGGGTGTCAGATCCCCTGGAACTGGAGTTACAGACAATCGTTAACTGCCACATGGGTGCTGGGAATTGAGCCTGAGTTCTTTGGCTCAGTGCTCTTAACCACAGAGCCATCTCTCCAGACCCTTATTACTCATTTTTATTTCCCAAATATATATGTCGGTATGCGTGTGTGCACATGAATCCGATGTCCCTGCAGAGGTCAGGGCATCGGATCCCCTGGAGCTGGAGGTACAGGTGGTTGGGAGCCGCCCTTTGTGGTCTTACCCACTGAGCTGTCTGTCTCTCCAGCTTCCCTCTCTTTTTCTTGGTCTTTACTTTCATGTAGGAACCTTAACCCTGAGCGTGGCCATACCACTGAGCCATTCCCCCAGCCCTGACTCTCCTCACGCATTTCATTTTGGCCTACTCGTTGGCATTTTACATTTGTATTCATGGTGGCCAGGCATGATGGTCCACACCGCTAACCTCATTACTCAGGAGGTAGAGGCAGGTGGAGGCCTGCTCTTCATAATAAGCTCCAGGCTAGCTGGGGCTAAAGGGAGATCCTGTCTCAGGAAAATGTGTTGGTACAGGTCAGTGTCTCCCAGTCCTGCCTTAGCTGTGTACCCACAAGGTCTGCCATGTAACATCTGATGCCGCTTTCTACAACTTCTTTATTCAAATAGAAGTTGGTTTGTATTTTTGTTGTTTGGTGGGGCTTTTTGTTGTGTTTGAGACAGTGTCTCCCTGTGTAGCCTCAGTGGCTTGAAACTCACTATGTAGCCTATACTGTCTCCCACAAACCCCATGTAGCCTACCCTGGCCTCAGATTTGCCACCGTCCTCCTGCCTCTGCCTTCCAAGCAGTGGGATCGCAGCACTTTGCGTTCCTGTTTTGGTCTTCCCACTGCAGGCCCTTTTCTTGCCATTTTCACTTCATAGTCTGGGAATCAGAGGTCAGAACAATGTTCACCTGGCCTCAGTGTAGATGACGGTGTCCTTTGGGGCCTGGAGCAGAGGTACTAGGAACCTGGGGTGCAGGGAGCCTAGGGTGTAGGAGTTGGGGGTGGGGACAAGGAGGTGGAGTCTTGCTCCAGGGCCAAAGCAGCCTGGCTCACAGCCCCTCCTGCACCTCAGCCAAGCTTGAGACCAAAGACCGCATGGTGTGGCAGAGCTGGGGTGGTGCCCTGCCCTCCAGGGATGCCAGGCACTGGGGACAGACAGGCCCAGGTCTAAAGCTCTGTCCAGCTCATAGCAAGAGTCCCGCTGTCTCAATCACTGCCCGCTCCTGCCCCTCCCAGCTCCACAGCAGAACCTACAGACCCTGTCAGCGCCTCCCCTAACTGTGGATTGTCTCCCTGGACCTTTTGCTTTTCTCACAGGCTGTCAGGAGACAGCAGACAGGGATGCCCCCTAGGACTGGTGTGCTTCTGGCCCCGTTTCCCCACAGCCCAGCCTCCCTTCTCACATAGCATCCACTGCTCATGTCTCCCTGCGGACTAGGGAAGCATGCTTGCTTCTCAGGATCCAGCGTATACTCGGAGTGGCCCTTGGCCTGCCCAGCTGAAGCTCTTGGGGGCCACGTGCCAGCCTGGGAGACAGCACGTTGGCAGCAGATGAACCGCCACCTGACCGCCTCCCATGTCTGTTCCCAGGGTGGCAAGGAGTACCTGATGCGGGCCCACTTTGGACTGCCCAGCGTGGAGGCTGAGGACAAGGAGGGCAAGCCCCCCATCAGCGTCAAGTTTGAGATCCCCTACTTCACTACCTCTGGCATCCAGGTACAGCCTGGGGCCCCTCAGAAAGGAAATTATGGGGTGAGACATACTCTGGGGACCTGGGGTCACTGTGGGAAAGTGTACAGTCAGCTCCTGGCAACCTTGCACAGCCCCACAGTCTGCCAGCCCCATTCCCTCAGCCTTGTCCTCTGAGGGATGGCAGGGCTGTGGGGGGCGGAGGGTAGTACATGTGCCCGGGACCCGGCCTATGTCCAGGTGCGCTACCTGAAGATCATCGAGAAGAGCGGCTACCAAGCACTGCCCTGGGTGCGCTATATCACACAGAACGGAGGTGAGTGGCCACCAGTGGGGCACTGAGGGCCTAGGGCTGGGGGCTCCTGCTGCAGAACTGAGCATGGGTGCCCCATGTCTCCCAGATTACCAGCTCCGGACCCAGTGAGGGGCTATGGCCACATCAGCCTGCCTGGCCTCAGCATATACCTGCCATGTCCACCGAAGCCGCAAAGTGGCCCTGGACACTCAGCCACTCCCCCAACCCCTGCAGGCAGCAGGGACCTACAGAGTCTCTTCCCAGATCCACTCGGACCAAGGGCGGCAAGGGCCTCCTAGCTTTCCCTGGGCACAGACCAGCCTGAGTGTCAGCTTTCGGTGCCACATGCCTGGCTGGTCACTACCCGGGGACACCAGCCTCGCCCACGCCAAGGCATCATTTTGTTGCCATTTTGTTGAGCATGTTGGTCGTCGTTGTCTGTTGCTATTCCTGTTACCTCTCTATCCATGTGTCCAGTGCAGCCACCATGCAGCTCTTAGTGAGGACAGCTGTCCCCTCCCACACTGACCCATTCCCAGATGGCCACCCTGTGGAACCTTTGGTGCCACCCAGGGCCAGCTGCACCTCCACGCCAGCCCTCAACCACTTCAGTGTTTCCCAAGGGGACTTGGCCTCAGCCTGCCCCCAAGAGTGCCCGGCTGGGTGCCAGCCACCTGTGTGTGACAGTTACATTAAATTTCATTCGTTATACCTGATGACTGTCCTCTGTCTGCACTGTGGTCCAGGCCTGTCTGGACACCCTTGATGACCCTGTCTTCCCCAGCTGCAGAGCACACAAGCAGTTGGGACAGCTACCACCCTCCCCCGCCTCCCCAACACCTGGGGAGCCCTTCTGGGGGACCAGGGCACATTGCCCTCTCATCCGGGAGAGTTCATTGTCTCAGGGCCCCCAGCCTGCCTGTGTGTGGGACTCCCCTCTGCTGTCTGAAGCAGCAGCTCCTGCCTAGGTGCAGCTGGGCCCAGAAGCTACTCACCAAGTTCTTATGGGCTTGGACATTCAAGACCCCTCCACACTGAGTGTCTGTGGGAGGTGGAAATGTGGCCAGGAGGTTCTGCCTCCCCACCTCTGTCCCCCCGCACCCTCTGCCTTCTGCATTTTCCTCACCTCCTTCCTCCCCACTTTCCCCACCCTTTGCCCTCCCAACTGCCCTCTCGTGCTCCTCTGTCACCAAGCTCTGCTTGGGGTATGCTGTGGTCGTCTGACCCCCATAGCCAGGTGTAGCCTTCCCAGCCAGTGAGGCTAACACACAGCCCAGGGCTGTGAGCTCCCCAAAACCTCTTGCAGCCCTGCCCTACCCATGCCAATGGACCCTAGGGCTGTCCATTCCAGACCCTACTTTTTGCCCACTGCCCCCTGCCAGCCCTGCAGGAGAGCATTTGGGGGCGTGGACAGCTGCTTTGTGCAATGTGTTCCAGTCACCTTGCCACAGACCAGCAGTGCATGGCATGGAGATGTTGGGCTGACGTGCAGCTCTGCTACAGAGCTGAGTGGGTATGGCCCCAGGTTCCACCCAGCTCTGCATTACCAACAAAGCAAATCAAGTTGTAACCCAAATAAGCAGCAGGCTGGATCATCAGAGTGGCTTAGTCAGAGGCTGAGCTTGGGGGTCTCAGCTGTAGCAAATACAAAAAGATATCAGAGGAGGAGCCATCTGGAATCTGTTCCAATCTAGGAAAGAACCAACTCAGGCCAGCAGGATGGCTCAACAGGTAAAGACACTTGCCACCAAGCCTGAGTTCAATCCCCAAGACCACATGGTAGTTGGAAAGAGAGCTGACTCTCACAGCCTGTCCTTTGATCTCCATGTTCCAGATCACACAAAGAAGTAAATAAATAAGAAAATAATACTAGTTGTAAAAAGGAACCAAGGCAGCTCAGGCCTGGGACCAGCACTCTGGATGGAGGCTGAGGCAGGAGGATCATGACACCCTGTCTCAACACAACAGTGGGTGAGGACTTGGGGCTTGACTGCTGCTCAGTGACTGTTCCCTCAGCTGCAGGCACACGCCCACACTGCAAAGATAAGTTAATGAAGAGAAGTTCCTGGAGCCCTTCTGCCAGGAGGCCACCTCAAGAGATACCAGGAAGACTGGCCCTGAGGAGTGAACTCGGTTTTGTAAACTACCTACCTGTGGCAGGTAGGTTACAGCTCCAACCCAGGTGCTGTGGTCAGGACAGCTTGCATGGGCATCTCCCTTCTGAATATGCATCAACCACTTGCAGATTATAAAACTTTGATTTGGTGACAGGATGCGTGCATGCCATGGTATAAGAATGGAGGTCAGAGGACAGCTTATGGGAGTTGGTTCTCTCCTTCCACCATGTAGGTCCCAGAATCAAACTTTGATTGTCAGACGTGGTGGCAAGCACCCACTGAGCCATCTTGCTGCTCCCCCTTTTTTTCCTGGTCTTTTGAAATAGGGTCTTCCTGTAGCCCCAACTAGCCTGATACTTACTATGTAGACCAGGCTAGCCTCGATCTCACAGAGATCTGCCTGCCTCTGCCTCCTGAGTGCTGGGATTAAAGCTGTGTGCTACCACGCATGTTTCTTGTCAGCCTCTTTTTAAATAATTAGTACATTTATTTATTCATTTTCAGGTATACTTTGGTAAAACATTTGCAAAGCAAGAAAAAGGCCAAGAAAAAAAAGCCTTTAAAGCAGCCACAAAAAATACTCATGACCTTCAAAAATAAGACAGCTAGACAGCTGGCTTTTCAAAGAAGTCAGAGAGAGCTGAGTGACATTTCTAGCACGCCAACGGAAAGCCCCAACCCGACACACACCAGAAGAGAACACAACAATAGAAGATTGAACCCAGGCCTTAGCCTGGAAAAGCTGGGCAGCAGCTCACACTGAAGGTGCTCAGACAGAAGGGAGGCACTTCAGTGGGGGCCGTGGCACAGGCCAGGTTGGGGCAGCTTTCATGAGCATCTGCCTGGCATGCAAGGGCCCTGGACTATAGCCTCAGCACCTCAAAAATAAAACAGTACACATAGCCAGGATCAGAATGCATACCTGTCACCCTGGTTCCTGGGAGGTAGAGGCAGATTCAGGAGCTGAAGGTCATCGTGGGCTACATAGCAGCTTCAAGCCTACCCTGGGTTATGTAAGACCTTGTCCCCAAACAAAAACAACAGAAAACAAAACCCAAAACAAGGGCCAGTGAAATGACTCACCAGGTAAGGGTGCTTGCTGCCAAGCCTGATGACCTGAGTTCAATCCTCAGGACCCACATGGTAGAAGGAGAGAACTAGCTCCATGGTACAAGTCATTCTCTGATCTCTGCTGACTCCATGGCATTTATACCCACACATGTAAATAAGTAATTATTAAAAAATTTTTTAAAGACAAAGCACTAGATAACATGGACAAATCTATGTAAGCATAAGTTGCCTAAAGCAATAGTTTTCTGAAAAAGTGGTCAGTTTCAAATACACAGTAGAAAAGTGTACAGGGTTTGGTTCTCAGCACCCACAGAGTGGCTAACAACCATCTGTAACTACAGTTCTAGGGGGTTTGATCTCTTCTAGCTTCTGCAGGCACTAAATGCATGTGGACACACACTGACACACAGATAACTAAGATCTTTTAGGCCAGATATGGTGACACACACCTTTAGTCCCAGTACAGGGACTAAGTGAATCTCTGAGTTAGAGGCCAGCCTGGTCTATACAGTGAGTTCCAGGGAGGGAGGGAGGGAGGGAAGGAGGGAGGGAGGGAGAAACTTCTGGGGAAAATAAAAGTAGGCACAAACAGATGTTCTGAAGGTAGGAGTGCTTTCTGTGCATAGGGGGAGGACCTAAGTTCAAATCAGCACCCATGTAAAACAGCCTGGTGCATCGGCATGAACCTGCAGCTCCAGCACAGGTAGAGATGGACATCCTGGGGTCTCACCACCCAGCCAGCCACCCAGTAAAGTTCTAGGCCAATGGCAGAGTCTGTCTCAAAAGCCAGGAAAATAGGAGTGGCTGGAAAGGTAGCTCATTTGTGAAGTCACCAGGACCTGAGTTCCAGTCCCAAGCCCCACGTAAAGAAATGGTATAGGGGCACGTGTCTGTAATCCCAGCACTGGGGAGGCAGAGACAGGAGCATTCCTGGGCTCCCTACCAGCCAGCCCAGCATAACTGGTGAGCTTCCAGCCAAAGGAACTGGACAACAGCATTTCTTTTTAGTTTTAGAGATTTATTTTTTAATTATGTGTGTTTCAAAGTACACCCATGCATGCAATGCTCGCAGAGACCAGAAAAGGGCATTGGATCCCCTGGAACTGGAGTTACAGACAGTTGTTGGCCACCATGTGGGTGCTGGGAACTGAACCTGGGTCCTCTGCAAGAACAGACAGTGCTCTTAACTCTTCTGCTGAGCCGGTTCTTCAGCCCCCTTGCAGCATTCTTTTAAAAATATTGTTTTGGGCCGGGTGTGGTGGCGCACGCCTTTAATCCCAGCACTTGGGAGGTAGAGGCAGGAGGATCTCTGTGAGTTCAAGGCCAGCCTGGTCTACATAGTGAGTTCCAGGACAGCTGGGGCTACAGGGAGACCCTGTCTCAAAAAGACAAAAAAAATATTGTTTTATTGTATGTGTATGAGTGTATTGCCTGCATGTATGTAAGTGCACCCACATCATACAATGCCCATAGAGGTCAGAAGAGGCCATGGATCCCCCGGAACTGGAGTTACAGTTTTTAGGCACCATGTGGGTGCTGGGCAGTTTTTAGGCACCATGTGGGTGCTGGGCACTGAACCCCAGTTCTCTGCCATACCCCAGCCCTCCCTCGCCCCCCACAGCACTCTTAAGATTGACATCCAAAGTTGTCTCCTTCCTTGTGCACACACACACACACACACACACACACACACACATATGCATGTACACTCTACCCTCACACAAACATGCTCTTACATGCATTTGAAAACCTAGGCAGCTACAGAATGACACTGCGACTGACCTCTGACCTCCACATGCACACATACGCACACACAACTTCACATGTGCATCGGCCCCCGTGAATCTGCATACGCTATGCACACCCCCCAAAGAAGGCACAAACTACACAATTTTGGCACGGCCTAAGGCCGCCTTTCGTAAGCTTCCCATCGCAGTGGTCTCCATCTTGCTCCACAGCATCCTCAGAGGGAAACCGCTCCCTGGCCTGCAGTCCAGCTCTGTCCACACCTGGCCCCTGTGCCCTGTGCTCTGCCGTCTGCCGTTTGTTGACAAGTGTGGCCGGTCATGTCACTTTCCTCTGCCTCTGCAGCTTACTGCATGCATGCTCTCTCTCCTTCCACAGTTCTGTGTCCCCAAGACCCTCCCTGCCCTGCCCGGGTTTGTAATTGCTGTGTCCCTAGGGAGAAGGGTGGCTCTTGTCTTCCACCGGGACGTACAGACCCGGCTACGGGGCTCTTCCAGTTGTGGCCACCAGGGGGCACACGTGGACTAGAACGTCCCCAGAGGCAGGAGCAGGTCTAGGCTGGGATCTCAGGGCTAAAGCCCTGCTAGACTCCTGTTTTGTTTTGTGGGGGTTTTTTTTTTGTATTTCTGAGACAGGGTCTCATGTTGCCCAAGCTGACCTCAAACCTGCTATGTAGCCAAAGATGACTTGGAACTTCTGATCCTCCTGTCTCTGCCTCCTGAGTGCTGGGATGACAGGTGTGCACCACTGCACCCCAATTATGCTGTACTGGGAATGGAACC